TTTTGAAATTAAAGAAATTAAAATGTAAATTAACATTAAGGAAATAAACTTGACTGTACTTTAATGTGGTACCTAACCCATAATTAGGGAAACTTCAGGACATCAGCCAAAGATATTAAAACAAATTCACCCCATACTTTTCTATCTGAGAAGGTCATCTTCTTCCATGAGATACGAAGCTTCAGGAGGGACATATAGGAAATGGGAAAACAGAAGGAAATCACGGACAGATCAGCTAAATCAATTCTGGTCATCAATGGCAAGGAAAGAGCTAGGTTGCTAAACATTCCATTTATGCTTATCTTGGAAAAAATGTACAAAGCTCTAACACTCTAGGGTCAGTTTTCTAAAAGGCCATGCAATGACTATACTATTCGATATAATATTGGGATCTTTTTCATAGAGAGGCACTCTATCACTCTTGATGCATATGTGAAGGATGGCTTTTAGAACATTCCTATGTTCTTTCTGCCCCTTCTTGTCCTTTCTTTCCCATTGATAGGTATTTAAGCTGTCAAATATGTCTTTGTGTGTATATTTATTTATATACTATATATTTACATATATAAATTATTTGCTAATTTATTATTTGCTACTTAAAAAAAAATTTTTTTCTTACAAAATTGCATAGTGTCCACAGTAGTGTGGTAGTAAAAAGACAACCGAATTTGGTGTTAGAACAATAAATTCAAGTTGTTCCAATTAATTCCTATGTGATCTTGGACAAGCCACTTTCTCAGTTCCTAACTGCATAACAGGAATAATAAGAATTCATATCTCACAGGCTTTTAATCAGGATCAAATCTGGAAAACGTTTGTAAATGTGTGTAAGTTGTAAAGCACTGTGCTATTTTTGCTTAAATTTTCAAGAGAATGTATAATACTTTAAATTTTATACTAATAAAAACCCCATATTAATCAAATACTTTTTGCTTGCTTTACTTATAGCATACTTTTCAGTGGAACAAGAACCTTTTTGGAAAACATTTGTTTGGCCTCCCAGGGAACCCCACCCACAGCACACAAGTCACCTATGGCTAAACTTCAGCATAAATAAAACACCCTTGAAAAAGCAACCTTGAAGGTATTATTGCCAAATAAATTGGTGTTTCTGTGTCTGTATGGACTATTATGACTGTCTTTATATATTACACTGAATTCAGTGAAGAACCAATAAAGTTCCATATTTATCTTATAAAATAGAAATTCCTCTATGTACATCTGCACTTTATTAAAAGTGGATAGGCCTATTTAAGGGACTATCGGTTATATTAAAACTAAGGGGAATAAAATTTTACTGGGAAAAATTGTACACATTTCACTACTTTTAGTTACAAAAGCAAATTTCATAAGTACAGATGTTTTACAAATCCCTTTAATGACTTCACGTGCTTATTTTGCTCACTTCAATTTAGATTTTGATACTTCCACTAGTAGTTCTCTTACAAAGCATATTGATACTCCATTGGTGAGCGTTTTTAATTTTTAAACTGTAGACCTATTTTCCATTCCTAGGAAGATACAAATATCTACATTTGGAACCTAAGAGAGACATATTAAATTATTTATCTACAATATGGTAGAATACATCTATGTGTATGCACCTAGGTAATATTTTTAGCAAAATAAAAAGAATTGCAGGGGCCGGCCCGGTGGCACAAGCGGTTAAGTGCACACGCTTTGCTTCGGCAGCCCGGGGTTCGCAGGTTCGGATCCCGGGCGCGCACCAACACACCGCTTGTCAAGCCATGCTGTGGCAGCGTCCCATATGAGGTAGAGGAAGATGGGCACGGATGTTAGCTCAGGGCCAATCTTCCTCAAGAAAAAAGGGGAGGATTGGCATCAGATGTTAGCTCAGGGCTAGTCCTCCTCACACACACAAAAAAAAGAATTGCAACTAAATGTAAAAGTATAATCAAAATATTTACATTTGATTTTCCTCAGGAAATTTTTTGCCTTTTTTTATAGAGATGAAATTTACATAATATTAACCATTTTAAAGTCAACAGTTCAACGGCATTTAGTACATTCACAATGTCGTGCAACCACCAACTCTACCTAGTTTTAAAACTTTTTCATCACCCCAAAAGGAAAACCTGCATCCGTTCAGCAGTTGTTCCCTCTATATTTGACTTTATAATAGCCAAACGTAATTCCTGAGATAAGCTGTTCATTATAGATTCAGATTCGCAGTTATAAGCATTGATTACTTGAGCCAGTACTTCACATTTCATTAATGCGAAGCAGGCACTTTCTCAATATCAACTCTACACCACTTACTCCAGGCTTGGTGAATTATAATTAAGTCAATAGCAAGTATTTCTCAGACAGAAGGAAAAGGTTTGTAAAGCATTCTTTTCATCTTTAGGCCTAAGTGAAATTTTTTATACCTAAAAGCTAACTTCTAAAAATAAATCACTAACGAAATCTATACTCTAGAAATAGCGAAAGGACAATATACTCTGACTATATTCATTAACATCTAAAAATATGACATCAGTTCTCTTTCTGTCTTTAACATAAGAGCTTTTTAAAAACTTTTGCGACATGATAAAAACATTTTTAAAATTTCTTTAAAACATTTAATCTCAAAGAGGTCTATGATTCATTTTAGATAAAAAGATAGAAGAGGATCTTATTCTAAAAACACACACAACTTTAACTGAATATAACCTTTCGTTATCTAAAACACTCTCATGGTAACAAACAAATTTAGTTTGCAGAATTCAGTTCAGTAATTTTTTAAATAAGATATAGTGCATAGCTCAAGAAGAAACCATGAACAGGGATTCAGATGACTTAAGCTTGGTACGAACTGAAATTGCATGTTTGTTCAAGGGGCTCTTCTTGCCTTCCAAGAATTTACATCAACGGCAGACCTCCATGACATTGCACAAGAACCACATACTGGCTGCTGTTCACTAGAAATGTTTACCAAGGTAATTGTCATCTTCGGGTTTTCCAGAATAGCTGTGCTGAAGAATATCAATGTTTGTTGCTCCTGTGGGAATCTTTACAACAACATTATAACCTGCAATATAATTTATACATGTTAACTTTCACAAAAATCAGACGGCCCAGAGGCTATTACTGCTGAATGACTGAAAAATTTTAATAGCAGTCAGACTTAATTTCATTTTATTTTTGAAAAATGATACAGTGCTTATTCTTTTTAAATCAGTACCTTATACAAATTACTAAGGATTGAGAGAAAGTGGTTGTTGTCTAGAAATGTACCGTTTGGGATTCTTAAAGTATGCTTCCTAATTTTTCTTACTTCTAAAATTATGAATATAGAATAAGAATAAAGCTAGTATTTTAGCTCCAGAAATATTTAATATACATATTCATTTTTAAATTTGACTAATATTTTTACATCTTATACTTCCTAATGGGAAAATACACAAGATTCCAAGTGCTATTCACAAATCTCCTGGATTTGTGAAGATTTGTGAAAATAGTTGGTCATTGCTATATGTGTACAAAGAGACTTAGTGAACAGCAAAATAATGAAAGCTAACGAGAAACGTTTTTCTTAAGCTTTTAGTTTCTAGTGTAAGCAGGAATCACTATAGCTACCCTCAAAATTTTACATCATTTTTTAAAGTCTACTAACAAATTGTCAAGACAAAAGTAAAAAGTTTACTTGAGAGAAACGTAAATAATATTTCTATTTTATGAGACCAAATTCAGTATACTGGCACTGCTCAAACGAAGAGGAAACACTTTATCAAATACATATTAAACAAGAAAGAATGTTTTCTCCACACTAAAAATACTCATGTTACATAGTTATCCAAATACTCTCAGGTTTTAAGTCAACGATTAATTTTTCTCTGGTGATATTATTCTAAGTTTTTTCTTTTTCTTATTAGGATTTTTCCCTTCTATTTAATACATGAATAAAAGGAGTTGAAATTTTTCTCATACACTAACTTAGATAATATGGAATGAACTTAAGAGGAAGTTTTAAGAGTTAAAGTTTGCAACTCTGATATGAGATTACCTTGAATGTTTTTAGAGCAGCCTTATTTATATCTCTTTAAGGCATCACATTTAAATATAAGGTGATAAATGGTCAGATGATTCTGTATATTCTACATGCATATTGGTTGTAGGGTTATCAGTCTACAAGAATAATTTTAAATCATGATTTTTTTTACCATAAAATATTCCTACTACCTCCACTATTTATGTCTTTGTTATTGTATTTTTTCAAGAAAGCAAGTCCTAAGCATTGCAAAAGCCACAAGATGAAGGCTACCACCAGGGGGCAGTCATGTGACAAATCCTAGTCAGACCCTGCAAATGAGTTTAACATCTTTCTCCATTTGCAAACTGATTAATTCGAAGTACTACAATTTTGGCAAGGTTAAATATCTGATTTTAATTCGGTGCATGTGGTTTTATAAAGAAAAAAATGTTTTCCAGTGAATACAGACCAGACTTTGATAAATGTATGCCATTGGTTATACAAGATGATCAAACATGTATGGCTTCCATAAAATAATGTCATAAAAACTAGAAAAATAGTATGTCAAATCTAGCAACTAAGATTCATAAGCATCACCAGAGTATTAAATGTACTATACTTTTCATATAGATAAAAATATAAATTTTGTTTTAAATTATACTCCTTTAATTGAAGCAATTCATATTAATTTAACTGTGTTCGAACACATGTGAACACAATTTAAAGCTGAACAATAAAACTCTAAAACACACATTTTTATTTGCAAGGAAAGTTTTAAAAGGCCATTTTTATTACCATGAAAAAGTTTTCCCAGAAAATTTTAGAATGAAAAATATATTTTCTCATAATTTTGAAAAAAAATAAAATCATAGCCAAATATCAATTATATCTGTAATCCAGATACTTCCTGGAAAACCAAAGGTAATGCTAATTCCAAATCAACATTTAAGTTAATGATTTCATCCTTCATCTTCAATCATTTTCAATATGTCATCAACAAGAAACACAACATATAGGCCAGGTCATACAAAAAATGTGGTTCAAATAATGAAAAATAATTGAAAGCACGTTTCCTGAAAAAATTATAAACATATATATTACAGATTTACAGGAACAGCAGTAAAAACACTTCATTAATGGGGGGACAATTCACACATCACTGTCAATTAGCAGTGGATTTACTCTAATAAATGCACCTAATAAATTTTTAAGAATCAGATTTGCCTTGAGCAGGTGAATTTATTAACTCAAGGATACATCTGGTATAAGACTTAATTTTTTATATTTAGGAAATTTTTAACAATCATTTTGAACTAAGGATATAGAGTAGACAAAAGAATAACAAACTATAACTATTATACCTTCATTATGTACTCTATTGTATCAAATAAAAGGGAAAACTAGAAACTGACACAGCTTACCGTAATGAGCACTATTGAAGACACCCGCCATTGTCCTGCATGACGAGTTATCCCCACCACACACTCCACATTTGTCTCTCCTGGCCTTGGAGTTCAACACATGATCACAGCCAGCTTGCTTCAAAATACAAGAATTACAATCAATAATATAAAAATGACTAACAGCAAGCATGGTACTTTACAGAGTGCTTTTCACAAATATTCTTTCAATTAATGGGAGATTCAATACAACAGGATTTTTTCAGAATATCTACTGATCTTGCTGTACAGCAATATTTTCACATATCTGTTCACATGGCTGAAAAAGCAGTGTTTTCCAAAGGGTCATCCACATACCTCCTGCATCAAAATCACTTGGGGTGGCATTCAAAAAAGCAGATTCCCAGATTTTCTGAAATCCTTAGAGGTAAAACTTAGGAATCCACATTATAACCCACACTGACAGTGATTCCTATATCCATCATTTGAAAACCATTCTTTAAAGAAATGTAATTCAAAAGGGACAAAAAGTATAATTATGTAAGCAACATTAAAATAACTCCAAAAAGATGCCTTTCATGATTTATTATTCTTTTTTAACTCTGGGAATAAACCGAGTACATTCGAAAGAAACAAATTATTTTTCCAGAATTAACATCTAGCATAATGAACAGTGTTTATGAAAAGAATGAATAAATAAACGTGAAAGTAAATGGTTTGTTCCAGGAGTTTAAAAGAACAATGCAGCTCCTCTGCATTCAGACAGTGTCCTCTGCATATGCTGCAATAACTTTTAGTTCGTTGGCATACTCTCAATTTAGTGATCAGAAAAGTACGAAAATTTCATAAGCCTCATGAATTTTTATACACAAGGCAAATATTTCCAAAATGAAAATTTCAACCAGATACTTTCTGAAGTATGCATCTATATGTTCAGATAATTGTCTTATTTCTTTCATTGTATATGACTTTCTGCTGTTAATTTAGATAAAACAAGTTTTTCAGGCCACTGAGTACCCTTTTTTTGGTATTAATTGATTTCCAATGTGTAAACGTTATTTCTAAGTTTCTTTGAACATCTAATTAGCACTTGGGGTGCAAGGCCTTTTATCACCTAGGTAACTGGTAATAGAAGTTTGGTTATAGGGAGAAGAAATTGGTCCTATGAAGTTCCACTTAGCCAAAGCAATGAGTTCATAAGATTACATTTGTCTTTTTTTTTTTTGGTGAGGAAGATCAGCCCTGAGCTAACATCTGCTGACAATCCTCCTCTTTTTGCTGAGGAAGATTGGCACTGAGCTAACATCTGTGCCCATCTTCCTCCATTTTATATGGGACGCCTGCTACAGCATGGCTTGATAAGCAGTGTGTAGGTCCACACCCGGGATCTGAACCTGCAAAACCCAGGCCGCCAAAGCAGAGCTCGTGAACTTAACTACTGCGCCACCAGGCCGGCCCCTACATTTGTATTCTGTCTAAAGAATTCAGCATTCATCATCTTAGTTCTCAAACCCACTATCCATTTTAAGATCACCATCTGCAATGTGCGTGTGTTAATTCAAGGTCTCATCTGCTCTCATCTAAAATTCAACTAAATGGCCCACCTATCTCTAATCTCCTCTTAACCCAGTACATTCTGAAGATTCTAATACGCAAATCAAATCACATCTCTCGTCCAATTCCAAATTCTTCAAGGCATCTCCAAAGACTTCAGAAAAAAAGTGCATATTAACAACCATCAGCCAGTCCCTACCTCCAACCTTGGTCTGTCACTTCCTTACCTTTCTAAAACCTACTCATCCTCAATAATTAGCTCAAGCCTCATATCCTCCATGAGCTTTCTCTCAATCCTTTACCCACTTCCCCATAAAATAAGACATTCCTCCCACAATATCCCCAACGCCACCTTGCAGACGACCCCCACAGCACTGTGTTCTCATTGTGTATGTGCCTATCTCCCCCACACATCTGTGGAGGTTGGTGCTCTGCTCCATCCTTTCATCTGACATCTAGTAGGGACTCAGTAAATGTTTGTTGAATGTACCCAAGAAGTAAGAGACAGGGATGGAAAGACAGAGGGAGGGAGAATATCATCCCTTCTAAAACAGAGGGGGAAAAAATCACCACAAAAGATGACATTTAAAGTAGCAAAAGGACTTAACAACTCTGGTGTTCTAATATTTTCTATCTTTTTAGGAAGCCAACCTCATCCCTCATCTTGATTTTGAGCACCATGGGCAATACAAAATCGGCCAACTTATCTTAACGTTTCATGAGTCACTCTTGACGACAGAAAATCGCCTAGTAACAAAGTCTCCTAATGATGCTCCCATAGATGGTGTGAATATTACCAAAGGTTGCTGCATTGGCATTCACAAGAATGTATTCTGAAGTAACAGAAGTAATATTTGGTTAGAGAAAAAGAATAGTATTCTGAAAGTCACTTTAAAGATAATAGGTTTCCTTACTCGACACAGGCCTTGAACACAGATGTCATTCGTTTCAGTTCCACAAGGAGTGCCATCGGCAACTCGATCCTTCAGTTGGTAGAAGTTAGTGGTTCCGGCAACCCGACAATAGAGTTTACAGCGATCTTTCATGGCAACTGAAGAAAAAGTCAAATTTTTGGTGTACAATAATATAGCTGTGCATTACTATGTCTCAAAAAAGATTCACATCAAAAAGTATTCTAATTACTTACTCCCACTGTACTTTGGAAGCCACCTCACATTTGGGGAAAGACCATTGATGTTGAAATGTTTACCATCAAAATCAGAGCACTGCTTCTCACGAAAGTCTTGCTTGCCTTTTGGACATGAATCAGTATTACATGATCGAAATTTCATCCTGCGGCCCACACAGTACTTTCCTCCGTTTCTTGGCCTAGTCAAATTCATTACATTTTTAAGCACATCAGTACAATATTATGTCTGCCATTCACTTCTAAAACTGTTCCATTCTTTTCCCGGATCTGGAAAACCACTGATGTCCCACTAACACTTTGTTTTTAACAGAAGAATATAACATGGTTTTTAAGCAATTTTATGGTTAATAAACTGTAAAAATGTCTATCTTAGGGTGAACACTGTGGCCTGGAGGGCAGAAATTATATCTTATTCATGACTCGATTAACTAAAAAAGTAATTAACAAATGACGGGAGTTTGTTTTAAAACTTCAAAAAAAAGGGATTTCTTCATTTTCTGGAAAAAAAACACATATAGTGAGTCAAAGACGATAACAAAGACAGATAATATCATGTTAAAAAAGAAATATATATGCATCTTTGTCATGTTTATCTTACTTATCATTTAGTTCTAAGAGTCTCATGGTATCAATCTATATCTATCCATCTCTTTATTTCAACATATGCTGGAAAATAAAAGCTCTTCTGTCAGCATTTTTTTTAACGTAAAGACTTCTAGCATAATTTAGCTATTCTAAAATTCAAATGAACTCAGATTTTATTTGGAGTATGTCACATTTCTGCATTAAAAATTCTTAACAGACTTTAAATGAAAAGTGTCCTATTGTTTACCAATTTATATATAACAAATACTATTTAAAATCTTTATGGAGTCTCCAAGTTCTTTTAAGTAGTTTGATGAGGGGGAGATATGCATCAGTACTTATTTGAGCTAAAGACACTGATGCGTCTATAATGTGAGAAGCAGAGAAAGAAAATATGACGTCAAATTACACAAAACAAAAAAAATCTGATAACGAAACTACATATTTTGTTTAGGGGAGCCAAAACATACTTGAAAAGAGACAGGATCTTTCAACAGAAACACAGTAAACGTACAAATGCCATTATATTACAGTCATTATTTATAACTATTTCTCCAATTAACACTAAATCAGAAAAAAAAGAAAACGGTTCTGTCTCAACTCAGATCCTAATGATTAAAATAATCTATTTAGGTTTTTTTTTTAAGGTCTGAATCTACCAAGATATAAAGTAATATGGCTTAAAGTATTCCAGAAGTTTTCTGAATCTCAGAAACTTACAGACTGACCTCCAGTTTAGAAGAGAATGAAACTGATGTTTATTTTCTGGTGCCTTGAGATAATCTTAATTTACAGTGACATAAAAAAGACATACTCGGGGCGATTACAGAGCCTGGTTGTGCTTTTGATTCCACCTCCACATGTTCTTGAACAAGAACTGTAAGGTCCCCATGGTCCCCATTCGCCATCTACAGGACGTGTTTCCATGTCTTTGTTTACACATAGCCCATGGTGGCAATGCTATAAAAGAACACAAAAAGAAATGATTCTTGTATATCTAATCAGAACATCACAGTAATTATAATAGCAGCATAAAGATCAATAAACAACAAAAGTATACAATTTATACAAAATGTTATTAATCCAGAAATGCGATTACATTTACCACTTTATGAATATTTCTTGAGAATCTACTTAGTAACTGTAAGAAAATATACGAAACTCAAGAATAGGAAATTTCTCTTGCCTTTGAGATTTAGAGTCTCACTGTGGGAGGAAAGACCTATATACACTTTAAAAAGAAGTAAATGTTAGATTAATACAGTATATATGCTTCTGTTTTTTATGCAAAGGTATCACTCTCTCACTCTTTCAGCTAACTTTCTACTCCATCTCATCCAGTCTCAATGACCACTTTGTATCTTACTTTCATCAAGAAAATGGAACCTTCAAGAAGAATCTACCACAATCTCCTTCCACTCCTACCCACCCCACAGCACCCATGCCCAATACTCAGCCTTCCTTATTTTTATACATGAAAAACCCAGGATCCTAGCCAAAATCAATCCCTCCACCTATGCAGTTAATCTCATCCCTTCTCACTACTCAAAACATCACTCCAGCAATTCCCTCCTCTCTCCTACATCATTGTTCCAGTCTTCACCAAATGAAAACTAATTGAAATGTGGTTCGTGCACTGATGCTTGTCTATGAACTAGTTGCTGTCAGTCTGTGAGGAGATGAGTACAGAAATTAAGAGTAAGCATTTAGAAACTTTCATAAGATATTGACAGTAATTTTATTAAAGTTGATAATTTAAAAATTAGCTTATGTTTGTTTTATTTTTAATTGTGGTAAAATACACATAAAATTTATCATCTTCACCATTTTTAAGTGCACAGTTCAGGGGTATTAAGTACATTCGCATTGTTGTGCAACCATCACCACCATCTATCTACAGAACTCTTCATCTTCCCAAACTGCAACTCTACAACCATTAAACAATAACTCTCCATTCTCCCCTTCTCCCAGCCCTTGGCAACCACCATTCTACTACCTGTTTTTATGAGTTTGACTCATAATGTGAGAGTCAATATAATGAATCATACATTTGACTTTTCATGACTGGCTTATTTCACTCAGTACAACGTCCTCAAGGTTCATACATGTTGTAGCATGTGTCAGAATTTCCCTCCTTTAAGGCTGAATAATATTCCATTCTATACATATACTACATTTTGTTTATTCACTCATCCATTGATGGACACTTAGGTTGTTTCTACCCCTTGGCTATTGTGAGTAATGCTGCTATGAACAAGGGTGTGACAAATATCTCTTTGAGACCCTGTTTTCAATTCTTTAGGATATATACCCAGAAGTGGTAATCCTGGTCATATGATAATTCTATTTTTAATTGTTTGAGGAACTGCCATTTTGTTTTCCATAGGAATATCTGGCTTATACTTTGAATGTCTTTTTTCATTTCATTTTCCTACTCAATCATTTTTATCATTTTATACAAAAGTATCAGTTTATAAATGATCAGATTTTTTTTTTAAAAAAAAAAAGATTGGTCTTTGACTAGAGGTAGTTTGAGAAGAACTAGATCATTCCCATTAACATACAAGTATACTCATTTCTCCCACTTTAACACCACCACAAACAACTTTTCTTAGATCTCACTTCCCTCACCAGCTACTGTCCTATTTCTTCTTGAAAGAGTTATCTATGCTCATTGTCTAACTCTCTCTGCCTATACTCATAACCCCACCCCAGCCAGGCTTTTATACCCCACCCTCCAAGAATCTGCTCACATGTAGATCACCAACGGCCTCCACAACACTGTAATCAATGGCCAGTTCTCCGTCTGTCTTCCTTTACTTAGCAGTATGTGACACAGCTAATCGTTCTTCTTTGATACATTTTTTTTGTCCTCTTGGTTTCCAGAGCTCCACATAGTCTTAGTTTTCTTTCTTCTTTAATGATTACTCTTGCACACTTTCTTTTGCTGTTTCTTCTTCTTTCTGATCCCTTAATGTTGGAATGTCCTGGGCTCAGATCTTGGTCCTTTATTCTTCTCTATCAACAATCACTCCCAGTCCAGATCTCTTTCCTGAACTCCTGACTATACATACAGTTGCTTCTTCATTTCACTTGAATATCTAACAAACATTTCAAACATAGCATACCCAAAACTGAACTCTGGCCCTGCCCCTCAAAATCTGCTGAGTAGATCTAAGTTGATCACCCAAAAACCTAGTCATCCTAGCTTTTCTTCCTCTAACATTCCACATCTAATACATTAGCAAATGTTCCAGTTCCTCCAAAAACATACAAAAATTGGCTTTTAATCATCACCCCCACTGCTCCCACTCTGGTTTGAGCCACCAGCATTTCTCACCTCTGTCACTGCAGTAGCGCCCTGAGTAGGTCTCCTCTGCTTCCAATCTTGCCCTCTACAGTTTAGGATGAACAGCTGTCAGGAGGATTTTAAATTTAAATTTTAAACTCAGTCAAATCAGGTGATTTGTCTGCTCAAATCCTTCAGTTACTTCACTGAGTAAATGTCAAGTTCTCACAATGGCCTCCAAGGCTCCAAATAATATTCCTCCAGTTACTTCCTACACGTCTCTCTTTACTCAACTCCAGCCACAATGCCTTCCTTGAACACATCACGAATACTCCAGGTTTAGGAATTCAGCTGTGCCCTTTGCCTGGGACTCACTTCCCCCAGGTATCCTCCTAGTTCTCTCTCACACTTCTCTTAAGACAGCTCATTTGGCAATTTTCCATAAGATGTACTACCTTAACCATCATATTTTAAATTGCAATCTGCTCTCTCCTACCACAAAACTTCCAGTCCCTTTCCTGCTCTATTTTTCCTGCCCATGACACTTACCAATTCATAGTACTATTATATTAATTGTTTGTAATATTCTAGTCTCCCCCTAGAACACAAGCTCCATGAAGGCAGGGATCTTTTCTCTTCTGTTCACTGATGTATCCTAAGCACCTAGAATAGTGCCTGACATACAGTAGGCCCTTGATAAGCCTTTGTTGAATGAATGAATAACCAAGCTTATTATCAGGAAAAATGCCTTATGCCCTCCATTAGAACAAATCATTCAGTACAAGAAAGCCACATTAGAAGTAAACAAAAACAAAATCTCAGAATAGAATGTACTATGTGTATGTAAATTTTGTGGGCATCTTCCACATGTGTGAGATCAGAGCATAAAAAAAGATAGAATGTTATTCTATTCACCATGTAGGGAAAATTAACTGTTGGTCAGATGGGTTCACCATGTCTTCATGCAAATAAATTTACTACTAAAAGCCTTTAACAGATTGTCCCACATGTAAGATAGTTACAAAATAAAGGAGAGTGTTAAGGCAAAATTATAGGACATTTGTTTATAACTTCCTTTGAATAAAAGGTCCATTTAATACTGAATATGGTTAATGCATAGGGGTTCACTATCTTCAATTAATTAAAAAAAGGAATTTATACCATGATCCACATGTTACCCTAAATGCCACCTCTGCTTTTAATCTACATGGACTTTAAAGTAGATATCAGTATCTCATCACATTTACCTTGAATTCCAACAAATCCACATTCACCATATCTCACTGGGGAAATATTCAAACAGTTAATAAACACATGAAAAGATGCTCAACACTGATAATAATCAGGGAAATGCAAATTAAAACCACAATGGGATTCCATTTTCCACCCACCAGAATGGTTAAAATTTTGTTAAACGACTAACAATATCAAAAATTGGCAAGGAATGCAGAGCAACTGGAATTTTCATACATAGCTTGAGGGAGTCTAAAATGGTACACATATTGTGGAAAATTGTTTGGCACTTTCTTATGAAGTTAAACATACGTCTACCCTATGACCCAGCAGTTCTACTCAAAGTATTTACTCAAGAGAAATGAAACCATGTGTCCACAAAAAGACCTGTACAAGGATGCTCATAGCAGCTTTATTCATAACAGCCAAAAACTAGAAATGACTCAAATGTCCATCAATAGGAGAATGAATAAACAAATTATAGTGTATCTGTATAGCTGAATTACACTGCAACATAAAGGAATGAAGTTTTGATGCACACAATAATATGGATGAAACTCAAAAGCATTATGGTGAACAAAAGAAGTTTGACCCACTCTCTCCCACCTCCCCAAAAAAGGTTTACTATATAGTTCCATTTACATTAAAATCAAGAACAGACAAACTAATCTATGGAGATAGAAACAAGAACAGGAGTTGTCTCGGGAGAGAAGAGAAATTGTCTACACAGAGGCAAGACTGAACTTTTCAGAGTGATGGAAAAGTTCTGATCTTGACTGAGATGTTGGCTATGTGTGTATCTACATTTATTAAAACTTATCAAACCATATACTTAAGATCTGTGCATTTTGCTCATATCTCAATTTTTTAAAATCACGTTTATGCCCAAACTGGATTTAGACTGCTCAGTGAATTAGTTATAAATAGTATATCTCTTGATATTCATAAATATACTAATCACTATTTTAGCCACACGCAATTAAGCCTGAAGTCTATGGCATATAGTAACTTTAAAACCTGCTAAAGCACTAAGGCTCAATCCTAGATTTGAATCAGGTGAGCATCTTGGAGCAAATGTTCTATCTAATATCAGCAGCCCAGTATTCCAACTTCAAAGAGATTTTTTCCTCTGCTCACCCTCAGTTAATTAGTAACTCTCACAAATGCCACTCCTTCCTCCAAAAAGCCTATTACTAGTACTGGCCACAATAAGTGAGAAAAATAAAGTCTTTTAATAATAATTATCCTCAAAATAGGAATTTCAGAAAAATTGCAATTCAAATTTTAAAATTCATTTCTAGCTTAAAGCTATTGATCCTACAATAGCAAAGTAACTTGAGTGCTAAACCATTTCAATGAGTACTTCACCTACAGCAAAAATTGCTAAAGTTCCCAATAAAACTTTAATAATCAATTCACTTGTGATGTGAGCGACATTCATGGAAAACACACGCGTTTTGATGGCAAAATGATCAAGAGAAGGGCAGGAGCTGGTACAAACGTTTCAATGAGGTGACACAAGTTCAGCTAGTGAACTGACCTTAATTTTAAGAAGTTTTTACTTTTTCCTAACGTGAAGTTAACAAGAGAGGCAGTGCTAGTCAACCCATCGCCAAGGAAGTGTTCCTTTCGCACTGAGGTAGCTCAGAGGAGGCTAACAGACTAAAACTTATTCAATGCAGACAACACTGGCCACCAAGGCCAGAGCACTTGATTTCATTCTGGAGCACCAAGGACAATCTGACTTCATCCTCACATACAGCACGTTTCATCATCATGGTGAACCCTATCACTCGACATCATGTTGGCAGATTGTGGTAAGTTCATGAGGGATGTTAGAATGGTAAAGATGTAGTATGGTAGGTAGTTTATTTTATAATGTATTTTGATAGGCTTAGAACCAATAAAGATCTGAAGAAGCCACTTAAAACTTTCAGTTATACTTAATTGAATTTTATGGGAGAAAATGTATACAATGATAATATCCTTGAATTTGGGGGATTTGCTGAAATATCAGGACCTTTATGTCCATACTCATTTTTAATAACAAGATTGTAAGAAACTTAGATAACTATATATCCATGTAATTATTTATATAACTATATATAACTAATATTCATCTGCTAGATCTTGGAAAAAAAGGTGAAATTAAAAATTTAATTCACTTGACAATGTACTACATCAAACAAACATGGCAAAAACATGAATTCAACCAGCAGAACAAAAGTTGACAGCAAACAATGAAGCGTGCTGAAATGCAGAGCAATCACATCCTTGGATAAATCTCTTGATACAAGACTCACCCTTCAAGAAAACCTACCATCCCAGGACCACAGTTTGTTCCATCTGCCAGTGGCATGTGTTGAGTGCGACAGCCCTTGTGAACTCCTTCTGCACTCGTGCACCACAGACGCCTGCATTGTTTCTGCAGAGTAACAAAAAGCAGGCAAGCCAGAGTAAAGATAATGCTACACCCACCAGATCATCTCAGTATAATGTATCGGTTTATAAGTTGATCCCATATATTTCCTGGTTTCATGGTCAGAGCTGGAAATAATCAGTAAAAAAAACCTTTACTAAGTAAGTTCTAGTCATCGATTTTCCCCTAAACACATAAAAGGGCAACATTTAGTTTTTAAAAACGTTTAGATTTTCATCATACATTGAACAACAGGAGAGAGGCATTGGAGTGGAAATATTCAAAATTATGTGAGACATTTTTCTCTCTTTGCAAGACATTTTTCTAAAGGACTTTTTGTTGTTAAATGTTATTCACAAGGAGTTTCCAAAAGCCCCTTTTGATCCAACAGTGGAATGTATGAATAATGTGCATAGAAATACTGTGTAATGTATACTGGTTTCCTATTTTGTGAATATAATGCATACTTTCAACTTTTGAACAAAGGGTTCTAAAGTTTTCACAAGAAACAAAAATCCATAAAGGCTCACAGGAGCTAAACCCAAGATAATTCCTTTCTTTTTCTGAATTTAAATTCAAAGTTTATTTAGTGTCTATATCAGGTAGGAAAGAAATGTATCTTTTACAACAAAAAATTAAGGTAAATCTTCCTGTCTCCATAGTGGATATTTAAAGGCTTATAAAATTAATAATTATAAATTTAAGATTTTAGGAACAATACTGACTGTGTGAAATATGCTTTGTATGTCCCTGTGCTCACTGTTAAGTAACTTTCATTCATTCATTTAACATTCAATAAGCATTTATTTTAAAGCACCTATTATGTGGCAGATTCTGAACTGAATACTGGGGATATGTCTTTAAATGAATGAATAAAGCTGCATTTTTGGTCCAAAGATCCTCACAATCTAGTAGTGTGGTAAGCAGTTTGGCAAAGGTTTGTACAGGAATGAAGAAAATGGAATGACTACTGTGCTTGGAAAAGTAAGGCATGTATTCACCAAAGGAGTGACATTTATTCAGACTGAATCCTAAATTTACTCCCAAATAAGACAAAATCATAGTTATAAATCCAGTAAAAGTGTTATATCAGCTACTTAAGTGGAAATTTAAAGTATCTAACCTATGAAAAATCCTCAAACTAAATTGTAATGTAACAGCTTAATGAAAACTAAACAATAAGCCCCAAATTTTATTCCTTTGGATTCTAATCTATGTAAATTAAAATGTAGTCTATTAGATTGCTGAGGCCTTTAATACAACTCATTATCAAAACACTTATATTTTCTCCCCCACCTCCAAAATAATATCATTTTAAAATAAATATTTAAATGCTTTTAACTTTCAATAACCTCTCTGTGGCTCTGTTTTCTAAATGGGAATATTTCATAGGATTTTGTGAGAGTTAACAAGGATAATTTGTAAGTACCTAACACAGTACCTGGCATATAAGTACTTAATTTTAGTTTCCCTCTATTTAACCCCTTTCTGACCATTTTTCTAAGACTTAAAACCTTTTAAGATATATTTAGTTCACCTTCTGTCCAAGAGAATAAATGGACATTTTGAAATATATTCTAACTATAACTTTATGGTAGTTTTCAAACAAAAGGACAGAATTTTTCTTACCAAATAGGGACACACTTGTGACCCAGGACCAAACATAAGCTCACATTGCTTGTTCACATCATACATCAATCCAGGAAGTTGTGAAGACAGATCATATGTTCTTCCATTTGGTTTGTCAAGGAGGCATTCCCCGTGACCAGTACTGTACCAATGACAGAAAACAAAATATTGTGAATACATATGGATGCATTTCCATATAAAATGCTTTATTACATTTTCTGTAGTTCTTCACTTTCTTTCAAGAAGAATGTCAGTATTTTTTCATAATTTAATAACAAACTCATATCAAAGTAAGAAAACCTCATAGTTTACAAAGGACTTTTTATGTGTTTATTCTCATTTGATCCCCACAACTGCCTTAAAGGTAAAATTTTTTTTAAAAAAACAATAACAAATAATAAATTCATCAGAATTTATGAAACATACATTCATATGTTGATCACACCACACTTTGGGTTTACTTTGCTATCCAATAGTTTTGCCTTATATCTAATGTCCAAATTGTCAAAACGTAAAAATAAAAATAAGTTTTCAAATCAATTGAGAAAATACGTTTATAGTTCTAAACAACAACAAAACAAAGAAATTTCAAAAAGTATTATGCTGTCTCTACCTCAAAGAAGTTTTTTAAGAAGGGAATATAATACAGAGTCAAGGATGCCAGCCTTGGGAGTTTACAGTTTGGTTCCACCATTTCTCAGCATGCATGGCTGTGGACAAGTTATTTAGTCACCTCATCTGTAAATTAAGAGTGGTGATATCTACCTTCAAGCTGCTATTAAAGTATATGATATAATATATGTAAAGGAGTTAGAAAAGCAGTAAACAGCAGGGGAAATGTATATTTGTTACTCTTAGTTTGTCATGCAATATCTAGCCCACAGAAAACTTTGTGAAAATGTTCAGCCATTCCAATTGGGTTAAAAGCAACAATTTGTCCCATTGCAACAATTAAAATTTTTTTTGGAAATTTTTAGTGGCTAGAAGGACATGTTAACTTTTGTCAAAAAAATGAACACGTAACTTTTAAAATTCCCATTGGAGAGAATCATAATATTACTCATTTCCAAAAGGAAGCACACCCACTGGTATTTTTAACCAATCTCTCAATTAGCTATTGAACAAAGCTATATGGAATCACATGTAGATCAGCAACTGTATGTTGTTCTTTTAAATAAAGTTCCTATACGAGGGTAAATAATCACTGGCTGATTATAATTATGGGATGTATTTATGAACATATATTCCAAAGCATGTTTTCATTTATTCCCATAGTTCTCACACAGAAAGGTGACTAGAAATTGCATAAATCGGTGATTAGAATATGTAGTAGAAGAAATGAGACAGTATTGTGTTTATACAAGAAAGATTACCTAGAAAGAATTCCCCTTGCCTTTTGGACAAGTTTCAGTAACTAGGATAGAAACATCATCTGGATAAAAGAAGTTGGGAAGTAGAGAAACCTGGTGGGAGATGGAGAGATGAGGCAAGAAAAATCTGAATCTGCCTCCTCTCTTCAGAGATGGGAAGGGCCTCCAGAAGAATATGTATACCTAGAGACTCCGTATCCCTGTGGCTTTAGAGAGTTATTTGGAATATTCAAGGTTTGACTTTACCTAGTCTCTGTCCTTCAAGGGCACCTCAAACTCCTCTCAAAATATTACCTGGTAGCTTCTGAAAATTCAAACACACACAACGAAGCTGTGATTCCTATTGAGTCTCCCTGCAAAAGGACTTTTCATTATAATAGCCCAAATTAAAAAAATGACAGCTAGGTCTGAAATGCCTCCCTCCGTTTTTTTTTTTTTTTTAGGAGTGAAATAATATGACTCTTTTCTTGTTTTTAAACATCCATTTGTACAGTGAAATTAAACTTAAATTTAAACCATGAAAAACTAAACAAATTGAACCACCTTAAAAGAACATACAAATTTCAAATTTTATAATGTAATGAATGTAAAGTAACAAAATCAGACTTACTCTAGGAATTCGGTGATATATTTCTGACTACATTTTGACCAGGTCCAAGGACTTGTCTGGTAATTTAAAGTAGGAGCCATTACATGATACTGATGTTTAATTCCAGTTTCCTTACATTTAAAACTATCATCATGTGGAACATTAAATCTAAAAATAAAAAGAAACACTTCAAGGACACTGTATATAACAATAGTAACAGATCTCCTACATTTATATTATAATGTAAAATACAGATAAATTTGATTACATCAGAATTTATACTCTTGATCCCTCCATAAAGTATTATAAAACTAGGGTCATCTTCATGTTTAGAAGCACACGATCTCTGAGAAACACTAGATTATAGCTTTGATCAGTAGCACAGTCTGTCGATTTGGTATGTGAATCTAAACAAAATATTTGAATTCTGGCTCACCTCATCACAATATGGACATCACATGCACATAAAAATACCTGCAGTTTTCAACATGCATATCCTAGGAGATGTGTGTGGAAAGATTAGATAAAGGCAACACCACTCTAAATTCTAGACCACTGACTATTGCTACAGTATCAAAAGGACTTCTTTAATCCCTAATTCCATATCATTCTTTAGTCTCCATCTATTTTATATGAAAGAGTCTAAGTACTGTTTCTGGTTTATAATCAAAATAAAAACTCCTAAAGGGCAACCAAATCTTCATAATGAGAGCAAGGATATTAAATAATTAGCTGGTGAGCAACAGATCCTGCATATTCTTTTGAGGACCCAAATGTAAACTCACGTTTAGAATGAACATTGAAACCACCTGATTCATGTCCTTGCCTGCTGAAATTTGTACTTACATCAGTCTTTTAATTAAACTACTTACCCATATTCTAAAGACGCCTAAAGAATTTCTCATGAAGAAAATAAATGTCTAAGATGGTAACCTCCGTAAGAACAGTCTACTAGTTAGCAGCTTTGGAAACCAGCAAACAGGGCTTTTCAGATGTTGCTGAAATGTATCTATGGCTCCCAGGTATGCTCCTGATCCCATCCCTCATGTCAACAAATAACTTAAAAATCTGAGTGTGCATCCGGTTGATGATCGTGAGATATAACCGTGCTAAAAGGAAACTGAAGCAGCACTAGTTCCATAAAAGTGATCTCCACTTGAAATTATTGTAGCTGAGTACTCTAATGATGTTAAGGCATGACCAGGAAAAGAAAATGAGAGGCAGTTCTATCCTCAATTCCTTATTAGCAAGATAGAACCAAGAAACCCCAGGAGTGCTGGGGGTACATTTGGAATCATCTTTTAGAGGATGAGTTTATAAGGGGTTCTGACTTTCCGTGGGAGCTCTGAGGGAATCACGGCCTCCATTCTTAGAGCATAGAACCCCAGAAGAACATTTAATAATGCAGAAACAGATAGGAGCATCTCAACGTCTTACAGAAAACTATGGGGTTAGGAGAAAAACTTTAAAAATCTTTTAATAATTGAAAAATCCCCACGGGTCACATCCTCTGCTGGGGCTCTGAGCTATAAGAGCAAGAAATGAGTTGGTATTACAAATACTGGGGGGAGTTCCCCAGAACCAGGAGCCCCTGCAGGCCCTCCCAGCAGACGGTAGAGGACAGTACCTGCTCATGCATAGGGCAACAAGGGACAGAGGCCAGAAGTGCTTGTCATGTAATCCAATACAGTAAATGAAATAAAACAATTCCCAAGTTCTAGTTCTTTGCTTAGTCTGTTGATCTGTGCAGCCTGTCTGACCTAACATAGATCACAAAAGAGCCAGAGTTAGCATTTCAGGGGTGAAAATTACACTAATAATATTTCATAAATAAAGGTGCTAATTAGTTAACCCAAGACAGAATTTTAGGCATTCTGTGCAATAATAGGAGGCATATTACGGAGGTGACAGGAGGTACTTACACGTGCCCAAGCTCGTGGGCTATGGTAAAGGCGGCACTGAGTCCATTTTCTTCACTAATAGAGCAGCTCCGTAGAGGATCACATAGAGTACCTAATTCTGCTAAACCTGAAAAATTTCACATTTGTATTTCATCAAAACGGTACATAATACCAAATCAGAAAGTACTAAATTTTAAAGCATTTACCATTGGCATTACCACTTAGAAATGAACGCAGCGTTGGCTGTTAATATTGCACGAATGTTATATAAGGTGGCAAAAAAAGAATAGAATGATTTGTCTGCGGATGAAATCTTTCAGTAAATTCTTGGATTCTTTTACTGAATAAAATAATCCAAAAATACAGTGTGAGCAAACAATTTTTAAAAAACAGGAAAAGGAAAAGAATATTTGTTACAGAAAGGATGAAGTTTTAGGCCACATTAGGGTGGGTAGTAGGAAAGGCAATGAATGTTTAAACTGGTAACAGAACTAATAAAGAAAATAGCACAGAACACTATAAATCTATGAGTTTTCTTTAATTTTTTAAAGTTTTGAACATCATACAATTATTCAATTGTCATATAATAATTAAATGAGTTAAAATGTTAAGTGCTTAGAATAGTACCTGGCATTTAATATCTGTTAAATAGAACATGAGTACATTAAGGATTATTGCAAGCACTCAATAATTTTGTAACTATTTCAGCAACGGAAAAAGTGTCATATATTAAGATCTATTCACTCATATAAAGAATAACATGCAACTCGGAAGTGCTGCTGAAAGATGAAGACAGTAAGAACTGGCTAGACACCAATAATTGCAGTTGACAGAGTCCTTTAAAAATAGAATAAGAAATTCAAAATAAATATTCATTACAACAACCAATATTCCATCATCAACCAAGTTCACATTTCATTTACTTTTTAATTTAACATAATACCATGGTTTTTGCTATTGCTATCCTTCAATATTTGCTTGTAAATTTCTGTTCTCCTATGATGATTCCTTTCATAAAAGAGAAGAATTATATAAAATAACCAGTTTCTTACTGTAAAGTTTTTGCATTCAGAAATTTATTAATATAGAATAGACTTATATTAGCTACTGTGTTTTAGCTCTCTTCTCCTGTGTATTCTTTTATTCATAAGAGTTAAAAACATGGACATTTTCCTAGCATTTAAGGTAGATTTCCTAACATTAGAATGCTTTTGTTGTACCCTAAAAATTAATGTAAGTTAAACTGAGGAATCTAAAACTGCTGGAAAAAGTCAGATTAACAAGTTCATTCGACATTATTTTTTTTTTTTTTTTTAACAAAAAGGAAAGATTTTCCCTCTTCTGACCCACTGCCAAAAGGCCTTGCTTGGGCAAACTCCCCACAAAAAGAGCTTTTTCTTAGAATCAAGACCAAAAGCGAGAAAGAAAAAAGACACTCTTTCTTTAACAGCCCTCTGTTGAAAGTATGAGGGAACTACTGTTCTCCTTAATGTTATAAAATTCATACTTGTATGTGCAATTTTTTTAGTCAATTTTATATTTATCCTTTGTCAGAATAAGTAAAAACTGAACACATTTTTTCATGAATATCCTGCTGTTCCCACGCCTTCATTAGTATTTTCAATTTGTTTAGCGGCTCAATTCCAACATATTCATTTTCAGGGCTGTGTAGATATCTGGAACACAACATTCACTCCATTACCACCCAAACTTTATGCTTCCTGCTTAAAGATGAATATATTATAAACTGAGTATTTTAGTCACATAACAGATCTGTAAAAATATGCACTGCATATGGTTAGAGACCAAGCTGAAACATTCTCATAAATAGTCAAGACCAAAAAAACTGAAGTGAACATATAGTATTATGCAAATAATGCTAGTTGATAGTTTGTGCCTAGATTCACTCAAGCTGATTCTGGGTACTCTAACAGAGGTCAGAGATAGAATAAGGTAGCATGAGCCCAAATTTGACACATGTTTCTTGTGTTTGGAAATGCAAGAAGCTGCACCCAATCTAGTCATTTTGAAGAATGAAAACCATTTTCAACATACTTTGCAAAACACGCTCAGAGACTGAGACAATAATACTTGCAAAAGAGATGTAGCAGGAAACCTAGTAATTATTAACAACATTTTGTGTTTGTCATTAATAGCTATACTTAATTTGTTATTTTTCCACGTATTTTAGATGAGGAAATAAAATACTAATGCTTGTATTAGTATAAGGTATGTAGCCTTGTGCAAACTATCCTCATCTATAAAATTGCAATCATAGTTGTTCTTACTTCATAGGTTGGTTGTGAAGATTAAATGAGTTAAATCATGTAAAACCTTAATATAGCATATAATATAAGTTGTCATATCTCAGCTATTGTTCTCATCATTACCCTTGACTTAACAAAGCATAATAAGAATGCTTTCATTTGCATAGTTTATGTTTCTAAATGTCACTATGATTTATGTGCACAGGGATGGCTGAAAACCACAAAAAATGAATGGGTACTAGGAGACCACCCACAAATAGTACAGAACATCTAGCACTGAATCATTAAAAAATTAGTAATAAATGGCAGACATATTCATACTTAACTTTTAGTATAAAGATGTGACCCCAGGGCATAGATAATGTAGGAAATATAATATATTCAATGGATTCTTATTAGATGATTTACTCATAAAATATACCTAACAAACCCAGAGAATAGTTTTCAGGGAGAGGAGAACAGGGTCTGCTGTAAAAATTAGAGTAGCAGGCATCTATTTCTACAAGTTTGCAAGATTAAAGTTTCTAAAGCGTCCTCCTAACGCAAAGAAACTAGACCTTTAATAAACACTGCTTTTTCATAAATACTGAGCTCACATGATTTACAAGAACTATCAAGTCCCCACCTTTAAACCTAACACATATATTCTCTCCCTCTGGTCATACACATGCATATGTGCATACATACACACGCACACACATATTTATACCCTGAGCTAAATCCTAAGTGGTAAGCAATGAATAGTAAAGATAGAAGCTACTTTGAGGGCAAATACTGATATAAGCAATATGATTCAGAGACTAAGAGCTTGCTAGAGGCAGCTTCAAGGTAGAGGATCCGATCATGAACTTTCCACTTTAAGTCAGGGACCCTGGTTAGTAACAATCTTTGCATTACAGCAAAAAACAAAAATCCCTCCTAGAGGAAAACACATACTTTATTAGCAGCCCATCCCCCAATCTCATGGGTTAGTATTAAGTAAATATGAGCTCACAATCAAAGACTACCAAACATACAAACAAGTCAGTGTAAGAGAAAGTTAGCAGAAACCACATATTTGTCTATCAAGTATTTCAGACGTGAGAATTGTCAGGGACGCAATATAAAATTACTCCATACAAAATGTTTAAGTAAACATGAAAGGCAATTACAAGTATGAGCAAATATAAAAAGGATGTAAACAAAATGAACAGACAGATTTTGAGTAATAATTAACTAGGACCTTTTAAATTGAGAAACATATGGAAACAGAAAATTCAGAGGATGAGTGAAATATCAAATCAGAGCCAGAAGAAAAACAATAAAATGCATGTTAGAGCTGCTTGAATGAAGCATGAAGAGAAAAAGAAACGAAAGCATGGAGAACAGAATGAGAAGACCCAGTACAAATGTCATCAGGGTCCCACAGGAGAGAACAAATAGAATATGAGGGGAAATTTCGAAAAAAAAAATTAATGGGAATTTTGATCACAACATATCCCAAGAAGAATAAATAAAAAGAAATCTATATTAAGACACAATTTTAATGAAACAGGATTATATCCAAGACAAAGAGAGAAATTACTAGCAGCCAGAATGAAGGATCACCAAAGAATCTACGACTAAACAGACTACAGGGCCGGCCCCGTGGCTTAGCGGTTAAGTGCGTGCGCTCTGCTGCTGGCGGCCTGGGTTTGGATCCCGGGCGCGCACCGACGCACTGCTTCTCCGGCCATGTTGAGGCCGCGTCCCACACACAGCAACTAGAAGGATGTGCAGCTATGACACAACTATCTACTGGGGATTTGGGGGAAAAATAAATAAATAAATAAAAATTAAAAAAAAAAAAAACAGACTACAGATTTCTCAATAGCAAAACCCAGAAAACAATACAATATTATATTCAAAATACTGAAAGAAAATAACTGTCAACCTAGAATTGGTACCCAGAAATATGGGTAAGTTAAACACATTTCCAGAAAAGTGAAAATAGAGAATTTTTCACTAATATGTCTTCACTAAAAGAACTTCTAAAGAATACAATTCACGGGGAAAAAAAGGAAAATGACCTCAAAGGGAAGGTATGAGATGTAAGACGAAGTTATGAAAAATTTATAAGCACGGGAACAAACTTAAGTATTGAATATAAAACATATCCTCTAATATACAAGGTTTACAAAATGATGGAAATAAAATAGTGGACAACCATACCATAAGTTTAGGAGGAAATTTAACAAAGTTTAAGTAATCTAAGATATTGCTTGTTTAAGAGAGAGCTTTGGACAAAGTTAATTATGGTAGTAAAAAACCAGAGTAACCTCAAAATAGGAGTGTTTATAATTTTCAACCTGCAAAAGGAAAAGTGAAATAAGAAAACTAACTTAAAAACTTAACCTGAGAAAACGGGGGTAGGGGAAGCACAGTATAAAATGAGATAAACAGAAAGCAAAAGCAACATGGTATATATAAGTGAATATATAACACTAATTACAATAAACGCAAATGGACAAACCTTGCCAATTAAATAGATTATTATAGTTATTTTAAAAATTCAATTTTATGCTATTTCCAAGAAAAACACCTAAAGTAAAAGGGCACTAGAAAACTTTAGCAAAAAATATATCCACCAAATACTAAACAAGAGAAAGGTGAGGTAGCTATAGTATTATCAGACATGATATATTTTAAATATATAACTATACTGATTTTTTCTCTTTAAAAAGCATTACTAGTGATAAAGAGAGTCACCACACAATTGTAAGAGGTTCAATTTAAACTTATATGTACCTAATAAGTTAGCCTTAAGATAAATGAAATGAAAAACTGTAATGCTATACGGAGTGACAGATATATACTCATGCTTCAAATTAGTGACCTAATAGACGATATAGTTAATTTGAACAGCACAATTAGCAAGTTTGATTTAACAGACATATATGTAGAACTCTTTGTACAATGTTAGAGAATATGCACTCTTTTTAAACATACATGGAGCATTTTTTTAATTGACCACATAATAGACCATACAGGTAATATCAAAAGATTTCAAAGAATAAGTTATCATAGATCATGTTCTCCAATTGCAATGAAATTAGAATTCAATAAACAAAAAAAAAACAAGCCTACACACATTTAGAAATATTTAAATGCATTTCTAAATAATTCATAAGTCAACAAAGAAATCACGATGGAATTTACACATATTTAGAATTTATCATTTTAAATGACATAAAATACCCACAAAAACTTGTGGGACAACAAAAATTATACTTTGAAGTAACTGATAGTCTTAAATAATAAAATCAGAAAACAAACCCTAGATGTTAATCAACTAAGCAGTCAACTTAAATTACAGATAGAACAGCAAGATTAAATTGAAAAGCAATGAAAAGATAATAAGGTTAAGCAGAAATTAATGAAATAAAAACAAGAGACAAAAGTCATAGTTGATTCTTTAAAAAAACAAATGCAATAGTCAATATTCCAAGGAAATTGATCTATTAAAAAGGAGAGGTGCAAATAAATAATGTCAGAAATAAAATGGGCATAACTATAGCTTTAGACAGAAGAGGTTAAAATAGAAAATGCCATGAAAATAATTGAAGTTAATAAATTTTACTACTAAATTTTACTACTAAAAGAAATGGTAAAATATCTAGATAAAAATAACTTTAAATACATTCAAGAAGATAAAAACAACAGTCTGTTTACCATTGGAGAAATTTTTAAAAATAGTTAAAAATCTTCCCACAAAGAAGTCATTTCCACAAATGAAACCCAGATGGTTCTCTAAGTGGGATCTCCCAGGTTTTCAAGATATAGATCATTCCAGTATTATACAAAATCTTCCAGAGAATGGGAAAAGAGATAATATACTCCAACCAATGTCATAAGGTGAATAAAACCTTGGTATCAAAATCAGACAAACATGATAAAAGTCATTTCACTCTGGCTGGATTTAAAATCAATAAACAAAATAATCCATTGCATTTCTATTAACTAGCATCATAAGTTATTTGAACTAATAAAAAACAGAAGTCTAATAAAAGTTGTACATGACTGGCTTGAAAGAAAATATATATTACTGAAAGACATCTAAAAAGACCTACATAAATGGATAGATAATTGTTTTATAATAACTTGACATGCTGCTTCTAAAATTTTTATAGAAGAACAAAGGTCCAAGAACAGCCAAAATACTTTTGAAGGAAATAAGGTGGAGTGATATATCCTATCAATTATTATGATTTATTATAGGCCTATAAAAATTAATAGTGTGGCATTGGTGCATGGTTTAAATAAAAAGTAGTGACTAATGGAATGAAGCAATGATTTTCAGACTCAAGTGTATGTAGTTTTATATATGACATTGCAGATTCAAAGGAAAGGAGATGAACTATTCAATGCATGGTCTGAGGAAACTGGTTATCTGAATAGAAAAGTAGCTAACAAAACTAGATCCCTATCTGATACTATATCAAAAAAATATCCCAAATGGTTTAGAGATTTGAATGTGAAAGGACAAATTTTCAATATTTATGGGAAAATATGTTTAGACTTTGAGCTAAGAAGGCTTTCTTAAATAAGATACGAAATTGCTAACACTAAAAGAAGAGGTTTAGGGGCTGGCCCCATGGCGTAGTGGTTAAGTTCCGCATGCTCTGCTTCAATGGCCTGGGTTCCAATCCAGGGCATGGACCACTCGTCAGCCATGCTGTGGGGGGGACCCACGTACAAAATAGAGGAAGATTGGCACAGATGTTAGCTCAGGGCGAACCTCTCCCAAGCAAAAAAAAAAAAACGAGGAAGATTGGCAACAGGTGTTAGCTCTGGGTGAATCTTCCTCAGCAAAATAACAATAATAATAATAATAAAAGAAGAAAGTTTATAAATTCAGCTACATTCTGCATTTTCACACACATGAAATGAAATTTCATGAATTTTCACACACACAAAAATGAAAACTAAGCAATGAATTATTAGAATATATTTGCTATACATATAAACCAAAAAGGGTTTGGTATCAAGAAGTTATAAAGAACACCTAAAAAGCGGTAAGAAAATGACAAATACCACAGCAGAAAAATAAGCAATGCTTTTCATTTCTTTCATTCCTCACAGAAAAGTAAATACAAACGGCCAGCAAATATATGAAAAGATGTTCAAATTCATTAGTAATCAGGGAACTGAAAATTGTTACTGTAATCATATTACATTTAGATTGGCCAAAATGAGAATCTGAAGATACCTTGTACTGATAAGGACATAATCAAAAGGAAGGCTTAGATATTATTAATAAAGGTGTAAATAGGTACAACCATTTTAGAAAATAATTTGATATATCTTATGAAGTTGAAAGTTAGCACATTTAAATAAGAGCAATTCTAATCATAGGAATATACCCTAGCTCTTACAGCAAAGTTCGTAACAGAAAAAAGCTGGAATGACCCCAAATATCCACTGATAGGTTAGAGATATGTCAACTGTGAATGAAATATTATACAGCAGTGAAAATGCATAAACTACAACTACAAAGCTCAAAAAGAAGCAAAACCAAACAATTTCTTGTTTAGGAAGATACATATGTAATAAAATTATTTTTCAAAAGGTGGAGGGAACTGACACATAATGAAATTCATGGTATTGGCTACCTCTTGGGAAAATGCAAGGGGATGAAATAAGGAATTAGCACAGGCCCTACAATAGTACTGATAAAGTTCTAGCTCTTAAATCACAGCTATTCACTTTATTATTTTGCTTTAAATTTACATACAGGTTATTATATATTATTTTGTATAGATCAAGTATTACATGATAAAACAATTTTAAATTAAATATGTCAAGCTTTGCACAGTGCTTGATATTTAGTAATTGGAACATAAATACCAGTTCTTATTATTCTTTAAAATTTATAGAAGTAGAATCAAATGATAGTGACAACTGTAATCATTAATCAAGACAATTAATCAAAATGATTAAAATGTAAAACAAAAGGAAAATAACATTATTTTAAATAATTCAGTAAACAATTATATAAGCTATATTTAATTTACAAAATAACTTACCTAATGTGTCACATTTCTCTCTAGCTCCACAAATGTCTTCCCTTAAAAACAAAAGATTTTGAAGCATTTTCAGAAAATAATTTTGCAACAAGCCAAAACAAAGATAAAGAAACTTGAACTGTGATATGACTATTAGCACAAACTGACTTCCAAAATCCAGTTCTTATTAAGCTCTCAGTAAGTTTAACCCTGGAGTAATGTACCATTTGTGCATATCAATAAACAATAGGTGCTATATAAAAGTGATCGTGCATAGCTAAAGCTTTGACCAAGTTCAATAAAAAGCTAAGTATTTTTCACCTCTCTGCCTTTACTTATACAGTATATGTAATTTACTCTTGATGTTTCAATGTCATTATGAGCTTCAGCTGTTATTTTGCTACTGCAAAATAATGATGTTCTCAGATGTTATCAAGCTGTTTAACTTTTTCTGCTTTTGCATTACTTAGTCGCTGACCATTCAATTTGACAGTTCTCTTGTCTCTTTCCTTATGGTCTCTTCTTATAGCCCTTTTCTCCCTCCCATCTGTTATTTCCATTCTTTGCTGCTTGGCCTTTAACTGCAATCCAGGACAACACCATGGACTGGTGACAGAATACTGTGTACAAAATTAAGTTCATTCTGCTTCAGTTTTGAAAAGAGATAAAAGTACATGGACTACATGTCAGCTATTCCACATGGACTAAAGGTTTTCATTTCAGGGTACTAGAAAGCTGAGATTTTTCTGAGTCTGACTCCCAAGCGAAAGATTTATTTCCTTTGGTCAACCAACCACCCAACCAACCAAACAGCAAACCCAGGATCTAAATATTCTAGTAGCATCCATGTTGCTGAAACAAAGGTGCAAATTAACAACGTATGGTGGTGCTTGTAAAATGGATAATCATTTTATAACAGCAGAAGCTGTTTTTCATATAAATAAATAGGTTTGAGAAAAACCCAACCAAAGGCAGTCTAGCGATTAAGCCATGCACTGAGCATCACAACCAAGAAACAAACAAAACAAAACAAACAAAAAAAAAACACAGTACAGGGAATCCAAAAAGTGCACAACCTCATAAATTCAAAAGCTCTTTCCAAGTAGTTGAACAAAATCTGCTCTCAGTTCCATAACCATGTTACTTTCCAAATATTTTTCCTAATTCTCTCATTCTGACACTAACATAATAAGGAAATTATTTTGTTTAGGTCATACCATTACGTAGCAACCTAACATTGCTAATTTCCTAAGGAATCAACTAGTATTCCGGTCCGAAAGAAGAGTGCTTTCTTTCAATAGTATCTTTTGTAATACAAATTCTCATAGAATACCTCCACGTATTATTGAGAAAGAATTAAGGTAACAAGAAGTAGCAACGGTCATGCAGGAGAGAAAGGGTAAACAAGTGCAGTTGGAAGGGTTATTTCTAAAACTGTACCTTGTGATAAGAACAGCAGTATCATGGTGGGAAGGGTGAGCATCGTCAAGAACATTCTGAGTTTGTTGCCATAAACAAAAGTTACGTAATGTGGTAGCTGCATTAAAACTGATGACTGGTCCTTCCTACACAAAAAATAAGCAATTCAACATGACGTCAAAACATTCATGGCCTCTTTTCCTTCCACGCTTGTCAGCATTCATGCAACTCATCAAATAGCATGTTCACAGGCAAATGAAGAAGCAGCATCATCTCTCCCTCATATCTCCAACATATTTTAGCAATACTTAAACATAGTGATCAAAACTGAATCTAATTAGATCTTCTCAACATAACTAAAAAACTAACTTCTAAAAATTACTATATTTTAAATCTTTCAACCATAAGATTATAAATTGTTATATATATATAAATTATATTATATATTATAGATTTTTAAATTATTAATTTTTGTTACTTCCTCTGCTGTCGTTCCATTTTATTTCCATCACAATAGAAAAAAGTAATCTCTCCCTTTTTCAAATCAAGTTTTTCACGTAAATTTTAAAATTATCTCATATCTAATAAAAGTTTTATGATCTATATAGACTCCTGCTAGGAGACTTCTACAATTCAGATTACTAATTTTAGACCTGTTTCTTACCTGTTCATTGTGAATTACAACTAATTTTACAATTACTATGTTTATAAGATTTCCAATACTTGAGTCCTTGTAGATTGCTGCAACCTGCAAGGAAAAGATGTAGGATTAGACGCCTAACATTAATATTTCTTCTCAAAAGTAAACTGAAACCAGTCCTAGAACATCAATTCTCTAATTTAGGTGCACATTGGAATCTCCTAGGGAGCTTTCACAAATCCCAATGCTCAGGCCACATCCCTTACCAATTAAATCAGATCTGTAGGGTTGAGATCTAGACATCAGTATCTTTTAAAATTCCCCGGTATTTAATGATTCCAATGTGAAGCCAAGTTAGAGAACCAGTATCCTAAACCTGGCTACTGAGATTCGTCCATGGATCAGCAGCGTCCACATCACCTAGAGCTGACTAGAAATGCAGACTCTCAGGCCCCACCCTGGACTAGTGAGTTAAAATCTGCATTTTAACAAGATCCTCAAGTGATTTGAATGTACATTAACGCTTGGAAACTGTTCTAGATAATTCAGCAAGAAATTCACTACATTCTGTGTCGTGATTCCAATTTATGCGACCACAACGCTCCATAAAAATAAGTTTTACCTGATCTTTTCTGGTAGTTTTACCTAATCTTTTCTGCCATGGTTGCATATTTCCAATTCTGAGTATGCTTATGATCTTTAACGCTTAGCACTACTGGAATCCATGGAGACAGATGTACCTAGAATCATATAAAGAACTATAGAAGAGGTCACGGATCACAACTTGGTCCTTAATTCTCCAAAATTGGAGAACGCAAGAGTCTACGAGGCACTCTGCATGGGCTGTTTGTGATTCATGGTTAAAGCGCTATCCAATTCATCTCCTCTTCTTGTAGCCGTCATGGAAGTTACCACTGCTGTGGGAGTGTCTTCCATGTCCAATGCCTTTCTCTGCCTTGCACTCCTTTGAGACATAACCCTCTAGACCTGAGCCACCTGTGCAATGAAAACGGCTTCCGAAACCTGGGTCACCATCTCCCGGACCACTGCACAAACCAAGACAGCAACTGATTCAGGATCTGATACTTCTCTCATTTATTTAATAAATAAATGTTCAATGTCTACTCCTTGCTTTGTTGGCTAGAGACCCAGAGATAGGGAAGAGGACGTGGTCCCTGACCTTGTGCAGCTTAACAGTTTGCTAGAAGTACCAGTAGTGGAGCCCTCACCCCATCAGCCAAAGCTGCTTCAACACAATGAATAACATGACTGCTGCTGATGCTTCTAGAGCCACACAGAGTACCACCAGCACCAGAGCCAAAAGCATCTCTGGAAATGCTGACCTTGCAGGGTCAGCGTGGACTTAAAATACCCATTCCAGCACCTTTCCTGTTGTTTTAGCTGTAAAGCCACAAATACTTACAGGTTTGTCATCTCTACCTGCAGGGATGCCTTTGGCTCTGGTGGTAGCATTTTTTGGCAAGAGAGGTGGTCACCCCAATGGAGTTGACAGTAAGTTCAGTTAAGACTGGGACAGTCAGATGATTGGCAGTTTCAAGTAGGTGTGTTAGCACTGCAATATTGTTCACTTTCAAAGGGGAACTGTGGAAATTTATAGCTGAATTGATATATTTTTAAAAGTTGCATGGAGAAAGATTTATCTACTATAGAAAATGAAGCATATCTATATTTGTGGCTTCAGAGTTATCCTTTGATCCTGTGAGTTTAAAACTAGATAGATGCTTTTCTAAGTCAAATTACAAGGTAGATAACACACCTCAAAAGTATGCATGAAGGCTCTTTTTCCCCTAAAAGTGAAAAACAGTGGTGAAGACTTCTGTCACAGGAGATCATGCATTCTCAGTAACCTACAGAGAAGAGTGCTTAAGCACTATGAGGTATGTAAATGGCTAATTTCTCTACTCATTGTCCCAAATTTGTTGACTACAAACGACAATCTGGGTGTTATAATATTAACTATAGAATATATAACCACAAAAATATTTTCCATTTTAGAATGGAACAGATGCTGTATCCTTTATTGAAAAGTGACCAATCAGCTGAAATTTGGAAACATATTCCTGGCATTCTGATGGTATATTTTTAAATATATTACTACAGCAAAATTTCCTTAAATTGTAATGTTAGGGAAAAGATAATTTAAATTATTATGCAAGATGGGTAACGTTATAAGCACAGTCCTTTAAGTTAAACAGACCCAGGTTCAAATTCTAACTGCTATTTATTAATAATACCTACTTATCAGGCTGTTATAAGGACTAAAACATGGTGTGCAAAAAAGTATTTAGATCAGGGCCTGGGTCATAGGAATCAATGGTAGTTATTGTTATTGTTACTACTTATAAAACTTTTTCAGAAGAAAAGGCATATGTTACATATAATGCTAGTTCTAGCACATGTGTTTCAAATTAGTTATCATAGTATGCCCAAATTGAAAGTAAAGGATCCAAGAGCATCACAATTGCATTATTTCTTTCAATATTTATTGAATATCTACTGCCTATCAAACATGGTGTAACTTACTAGATACACAGAGATGAATAAGGCATGATTTCTGCTGTTAAAAAACTCATTCTTCCAGGGGTAAAAGATACAAAAACAGAGTTCAATTTAAATAATTCTTCACGCACCCTCCTCCCAAAAAACCTCTCAGATTGATATTTTGCTTTTATAGTAAAACGGTATGATTCAGTAATTAAGAAGGTAATTAACAAGACAGGAAACAAGTGTTGGAGAGGATGTGGAGAGAAGGAAACTCTCATACACTGCTGGTGGGAGTGCAAACTGGTGCAGCCACTATGGAAAACAGTATGGAGATTCCTCAAAAAATTAAGGATAGACCTACCATATGATCCCACTATTCCACTGCTGGGTATTTACCCAAAGAACATGAAAACACCAATGCATAAAGATGCATGCACCCCTGTGTTCATTGCAGCGTTATTCACAATAGCCAAGACTTGGAAGCAACCTAAGTGCCCATCAAGGGACGAATGGATAAAGAAGATATGGTATATATACACAACGGAATACTACTCAGCCATAAGAAACGATGAAATCCATTTTGACAACATGGATGGACATCGAGGGTATTATGCAAAGTGAAATAAGTCAGAGGGAGAAGGTCAAATACTGTATATTATTTACTACTTATTAAGTAGATAATAGCAACAACAAACAAACACATAGAGACAGAGATTGGATTGGTGGTTATGGGGGGCTGGGGGGGTGCAAAAGGGATAATTCGGCACGTGTGTGGTGATGGATTGTAATTAGTATTTGGGTGGTGAACACGAGAACATGATGTAATCCATGTAGAAATAGAAGTATGACGACGTACACCTGGAATTTATACAATGTTATAAACCAACGTTACCGCAATAAACAAAAATAATTAATTAATTAATTAATTAATTTAAAAAAAGGTCATCCTGCTCATTTAACTGTATGCACCTATTGTTTTATGTATTGACCATGTGCTTATATACTCAATATATACACCTTTTACTATATTTGGATGTTTAAAGGTGCTATTATTGAATAACTCTATTCAATCAAGCTGAATTGTGAAGCAGGCAAATGAGTGACCACAAGGCCCATTTGTCACTGAGAGGCTTTTCTAACTGCCATGTACAACATGCTTCTCTCATCCCCAAACTACCACCCCATATGAGGTTGCCATGATGGTAGGGTACCATGTTTGTTACTTCTTCATAAATAATACATACATAAATTTATTGAATGTTTGTGTGCCAGATGTGTTCTAAGATTAAATTAATTCATTTAATTCCAGCAAATCCTATGAGATAGGAACTATTGTGTCCATTTTCCAGATAAGAAAACTATGGTATGGAGAAGTTAAGTAACACACTGAAGATTAGGCAACTGGTAAGCCTCAGAACACAATTTCTATCTTAGGCAGCCTGGCTTTAGCTTGGATTACTTTATCTGATCTTAGGGAATGTCAGCATTCTACCCTAAGTCCTTCCTAATTAGTTCTTGGTACAAAGAGTTTTTTCAGAACTCAGATATGGTTCATGTCCTAGCCCCTGATACTATCCGGCAGTGGCCACGTAACTATGGGCTCAGAGAAGTCCCATGCAGTCAGGAGACCTGGGTTTTAGTTCTACCTCTATTACTAGTTACAAGAAAGTTGTTCAGCTCTGGAAATGGATTTATCTACTTTTTGTCTCAATACCTGCAACCACGTTGAGGCACTGAGCACCCTCAGGCACAATGCCTTAGTGTATTTGATTAAAATTTACCAGATGCTGTTGGGGGAGGGGTGTAGGGGATATCTGTTTTAAAGAACAAAATCATTCCACAGTTTCAGGAATGTTGAGTAAAAAAGAGTTAAATAGGTATCCTCACAGAGTCTTGAACAGGCTAACATATATACACAAATATATTCTATGAAAGAGGTATTATATGTAACACTTCATGTAGCTACTTGGCCACAGCCTTCTTTTTCCTTCCCATGGAGCATGTCACAGGGCTGGGACCCCATTTCATAGACTGTACCTTAGGAAATGCCAGACCAGATTTCTAAGGCATCTTCCTGTTGTATAAAGCTATGTAATATTATATTACTGTAATCACTAGATTTTAGAGGTTATGTATTAGAATTTGTATTGATTTAATTAAAATGTATTTAATCTTTTATTCTTTAAGTGTCTGCTTCCCTGGCATATCGAGTTCATATTTCTTTACAGGTCTCATAAGATAGTAAAGATTACTTCATGAATATTTAATGAATGTAAAAAACATGGTATGAATTATATTGTTTAAATATTTTAAGAAAATTCTAGGCAATATATTTCATGCAAAGTATGAAACAAATTATCACCATTATCTGAACAACCATTTTGAAATAATTTCTATATAGAGTTTCAGAAAATGTTCATATATGTCATGTGTACAGGCTGCCTTCATTTTATTTTAGGCATTTTTTAATTGAGATAATTGACATAATACATTGTACTAGTTTTAGGTGTACAACATAATGATTAGACATATGTATATATTGTGAAATGATTACCACAATAAGTTAACAGCCATCATCACAGTCATGAATTTTTCTTGTGATGAGAACTTTTCAGATCTACTCTCTAAGCAACTTTTAAATATACAACACAGTATTGTTAACTATAGTCACTATGCTGTATATTACACCCCCAGAACTTATAACTGGAAGTTTGTACCTTTTGACCCACCTTCATCTTCAAAGTCATCTATATAAAACTGATTTTAAGAAAGTGATTTTGTTTACAAAGATCACTACTCTCATCAGAAAGATCTTTTTAAGTTAGAAAATGATGACATTGCACTTATGCACAAAGTAAATATGTGCAAAGAATTAAGAATAAGCAGAGCACTGAGTTGAAGAAAAGAAAAGGTAACATAAATGGTTATACCTAAAGTATGAAGTATATCATTAGTTTTTATTTTAATGTGGATGAAAATTTCCCCTACATTGAATAATATCAGTAAAAGCAACTCAAAGAGTTGAAAGCAATGAAATTAAGTCAATGTAATGCAAGTAAGGGTTTTTAGCTGATAAATGCCTTTAATAATAGGAACTATGTTTTAATAAATAGAGCTAATTCCTGATGATCACATGGTCCTCCTTAAACTCACATTATTAAATCTGTAACAAGGTGAATATTATGAAGTCAAACCTATGCAAACACATGGAGTATGGAGGTCTCTGATATATAGTAAATATTTCCAAGGTTTATTAAACAATAAGTCACTGAATATCAAAATAAACTTGTCAAAGAAAGTAATTGCTCTAGTTTACACATACTCTGGTAGTCTACTAATGCATATGTAAATGCCATTTTAGCCTGACACTACCACCCAAATTCTCTAAGGATAAAAGCTTTGGGATAGCAAATAACTGAACATCTGATCACTTAACACACTTATTTCATTAGACACACTATACACAATTGTGTTCTTCCCAACTAATTTTAATGTTAATTCCAGAAACCCTTTGAATAAGAGATCACTAAGCTATTTTTACATGATACATCATTCTAGAAACTGAATTAAATCACCCACATTATTTCTATATCATTGCACTCAGACATTTTGTTAAATTGTTGAAAGCAAAGAAAAAGTCTGAGAAGACAGCATAATTGTTTACTTGGTGCAGGATGGGTAAGAGTAGATAATCCTCTCTAAATTGTGTATATAATCCATTTGCTCAATGTTGAAAGCATTCGGCTATTTCTCCCATTATATCTGAGGCCAAAAGACAAAACTTTTTTTCATCACTGTGAACTTTTCTTTAAATAGCTCACAAAGATATTCCAAGTCACATTTTCTTGTTTTTTCTTAATTACTAAGACCAAGAACATTACCAATATCTTGAGTGTGTGTTTGAATAAATGCAGTTAATGCCTTCTTAAAAATTAAGACAAAATATGCAAAACCTGAATGGCTCCTTCCTCAACTGGAAACATCTGGGGCACTTATGTGGCGACAGCATCCCTCTTATCTCTTTAGAGCAATTTTGGAAATGGACTTCACAAGTGGAAACAAAATAAGTAGGACTAGGTTTGACAATCTCTACGTCGTGTGACCAATTATCCCAGTTTGCCCAGGACTAAGGGGTTTCCAGGAATGTGAGACTTTCAATACTAAAATCGGGAAAGTCCCAGGCAAAACAAGGCGAGTCTGTTAGTCTTTCTCTGAGTTTCCTTTCACATTGTTTATATCCACAAATACAGCTGTGATCACCGTTCTTCACTAATAAAACTATATACAGAACCATAAAGTCTACTGACTTTCCTGTATCCTTATCTGAACATTCTTTCAATGAAAAAGAAAAGAATGATGAAAGCACCAAAGCCAGGTAATTTAGAAGTCATCTGAAATTTGACCTCTGAGGAGTAAAGAAAGCATATATAAAACCCAAACCACTCAAAAGAGAGACCTACCCTCCTAAATTTTTCCTCCTACCCATCTATATTTGGAATGCTCCCCTCTTCCTCAACCATGCTGCAGTCTATCTTCCTGTGAAAGAAAGTTTAACACAAATCAGCTGACTGTCTCTACAGACATATCTTCAATCGAAATGGGCTCTCCTTCATAGTGGGACTAAACACCTAGGATGTGATATGTGCACGCATTGGTCTGTTGCTTCAAGCAATCTCAGAAGCAGACTTCCTTTCCATGAAGTCAAAAGGTCTGCTTTGCACTTGAGGAACTCTGGCTTTAAAACTCCCATGGACAACTTCAGTTACCTCAAGGGATGTCACAATAGCTTCCAAACAGCGATTATATTGATTTCTATGTAAAATATAGATAACAAAACTTTTCTGAGGATGGCATTATCACTAAAACTGCATATAGCCATTCAAAAATTACTCTTGAAAAATTACTTTTATGTTCCTTTACTCCTAGTCAGTATTTGCAAAGCACTGACATTAGCGTCATCTGCCATTTAATATGCTTCAAAATCTGTTGTATTTATAAAATCTAATATATTCCTTCAGTATCTCCACTCTCCCTCCACCAATTTAAATTTCCTCTAACCATTTAAATTGCAAAATCTATCCCACAGTGTTCCATATAATTGATACCATTTCCTACATTATCAACTGACATCCTCCATGTCAATGTTCTCATTAGAATCCCTGCATAATGAGCATGCCACACCCACGTGCAGATAATTATACATCTAGATAATTACTTCAGATTCAGAAGTAAGAAGATGTTATCAGGATAAATTTATACGTAGAGCCCTGTTGTCATTTTAAAAATTCACTTCAAGTAAACAAGTGTCTATATGATACGAATTTCAGAAAATCATTTTGGATCATCTATTTTTTGTCTACTACAATGTCATGCATTCTGAAAAAAGTATTATTCACCTATTCATTCATTCTTTCTTTCTTTCATTAACTACTGAGTGTCTGCTTTGTACCAGATACTGTTTAGGCAACACAGACCATGTATTCTTAGCACTTATACGAATTTAAGATAAAATGTTCTATGTAAGGAAAATAACAGGGTCTTAAGATCTTCAAGTCACAAGGAACGTGGGATTTCTAGCTAAGGGAAATTTACAGTGGCCTATACATGTGTCCTGGCCAAATCTTTTCAACCAAGCGGGCCTGAATTCCCTATATGTGAATAGAGGTACTTCCAGCCATGAGATATGTTCTAATACCCCAAATTTGTATAAATAGGTGACCATATAATTCACCAACTAAACCAGGGTACTCCTGAGCACAAAAGAGGGTGCTTTTAGCAATTACTCTAAAACAGCAGCCTTAAATCCAAGAATGTCCCAGACAGTAGATGTATGTATGCGTATACGTATGTATGTGTATATATGTGTATGCATATATGTATTTGTATATATGTGTGTATATATAAGATACAGAGTGCTACCACTAACCCAGAATTGGTGCTCTTCATTAGCACCAGAATTCTGCTCTACAGATACTGGCACCACCACTGCTCAACAGAGATATTAACATCAGATCAAGGACTCTTATAACTACTGTGCTCTTACATCCCAAATTTGCTAAAGCAGCTCTATTAGTAATAGCCTGTCCTTTTATCCCGATAAATACACTTATAACTTAAAATATCATTTGTCCCAATTTCTGATTTGGCAAAGGTAGCAGTAGTAAAAATAGCATCCTCTCCCCTCTGTGCAGAAATAGGGTGAAGTTTTAAAATTCAAATTCAAAGGGCAAAAGATCAATGCTACTAGGATCTTCCCTGTCACTAGGGGGCAGAAGCCATTCATGTGATGAAGAATAATTCAAGTATTTTCTATAAGTGGTTTCAGAGATTTTAAAATGTTTTAGAAAGTTGTCAGAGTAACAGGATGGGATACTTGCTATACATCCATATAAGCTAAATTTCAATGAAATATTATTTGCGGCTTAAACCTAGATACAATTCCCTTTCAAATAGAATTTAGGAAAACATTTTTCAAAATTAAATGTGAAAAAATATTACGTTAACATTTTAGGAAATTTAAAGGACGTGTTAAGTTTACTTACAATCGACATCAGAGTTAGTACATAGTGCTGCAAATTCTGTCCATGATGATGAACCATTTTAGCATCAGCCGTAACCATAACTTCCACGTATCTTGGATATGATAAAAAACGTTTTCTCCTGGAATGTAATTGACTTCTTTCATCTTCCAATGATATATTTTTTGAAGGATATCCTAAAACTATTTTCTTCTCCATATTAAGATCTTCATTCATGTTGCTGTAGTTGTGAAAAGGTAGAGTGGTTTTCTTTATTTGACTATCTAGGGGGATAAAAAGAATATAATGTGGAGCCATTATATTAGATGAGACTAAAACTATTACGCAAAACAGAATAGCTAAAAATATTTAATACTTACACATCTGCTTCCAATGTGAAACAATAAAAGGACAAAAAAATTATTTAAAATAGTGATACAGATTATGAGTGTTACTATTCATAGTAATAAAATGTTAACATTTTCATAGATTGCACTAATAAAACTATCTAAATCTTATATTAACAGTTATGACTATTCAAAAACATTTATTAACTACTGGGTAGAAAATAAAAATAAATTGAGTCCCTATGTTTTCCTCAGTAGATAAATTGGGTCCTCAAGCCACCGATGGCATTTAAGCTCATTACAGAGTAATCACATCTTGTATAAAATATAGAACAAAACATACTTTCATTATACAATATGTGGAGAGCCCTAAGAATAAAAGAAAATCAAATCATAACATTGGGCGGGTGTTTGAACTCAGAAAATCAAATGGTAATATAAATTTTATAATACTTGATTATATAAAATACCTGTTTACTTTTATATTTGCTTCTATGTAAGTACAAATTATTGAACATTAGAGATTATTACAGCAACACTTTTAAGTCTTATGCATTTATAGAAGAGATTTCTAAATTCTTGATTATTCGTGCTAACAGAAAATAATCACAGGCAGCAGGGGTGCTTGTCCTAGTCCCTTCTCCAATTTGTTTCTCTACTTTCACCTTCCTTATTTTCCCTTGCTAATTTTTCTGACAATTGTTCACTGAAAGTATTTTGAAAAGGAAAGTGGACCAAAAGAATCAGATAAGAAGAAATAAGAGGTCCCGGATAGTTCATAAACCAAATAACCCATACCAAAACAACCAAGACTTAGTTGTACTACAAGGATTAAACATAAATATAAAACTATATTTTACTATAAAAATAATTCATTTCCTTTTAAATAAGCAGCAATCTTATGGTTGTAAGAAAGAAATTGAAGTCCTTAAACATTGTTTCCACAGATGATCTTTTTCTAATTCCTAAAATCATACTGTCTTAATATCACTATGCTCTTAGCTTTTAACATTTATCTCAGTGGGCTATTCTGGAAATTTGGCAAACTGAGTGTACAGTCCTAAAACTTTGTGCTACCATCTTTCTCCCGGGGTTACTCAACCACTAAAATACCCATGACTAATTATTGGTCCCTGAAGAAGATCTCAGATATCTTATGTATACAAATCTCCGAGTTATCAGGAAGAAGGTAAATATTCATGTTTTGATTTATTTGTTCATCAATTTCATTTATTCAAAATAAATATTTATTGAGTACCTACTCTATGTCAGGAAACATTTAGAAATTGAAGAGCAAATAGTAGCTCATAAAGCTTACACTCTAGTGGGAAAAGAAAATAATAAACATATTTAACAATAAATTTCAGGTAGCTTTAAGTGCTTCAATAACCATTCAACCAAGAGACAAAAAGTGGCTCTATCTATCCAAATGGCTGAAATTTAAAGACGGATAATACCAAGTTTTGGGAAAACTATCTGGCAATTTCTAAGCTAGACATGTATCTGCTCCACGAGCCTGTAATTCTATTCACAGATACATACCTAACAAAAGAAAAACATACATCCACAAAAAGACTTGTATAAGAATGTTCACAGTAAGACCAGCATACAGACCAATGGAATAGAACAGAGAGCCCAGAAATAAACACTCACGTATATGGTCAAATGATCTTGAACAAGGAAGCCAAGAGCACTCAATGGTGCAAGATCAGTCTCTTCAACAAACGGTATTGGAAAAGCTGGATATCCACAAGCAAAAGAATAAAATTGGACCCTTATCTTACATCATATATAAAAATTAACTCAAAATGAAGACCTAAAAGTAAGACCGAAAACTCTGAAACTCCCAAAAGAAAATATCGAGGGAAAAGTACATGACACTGGATTTGGCAATGATTTCTTGGATATGACACCAAAGCACAGGCAACAAAAGAAAATAGACCAAGAGACTATGTCAAATTTTAAAACTGTGCAAAGGACACAGTCAACAGAGGTAACAGGCAACCTGTTGAATGGGAGAAAATATTTGCAAATCATATATCTGATAAGGGGTTAATATCTAGAACATATATTTTTTTTTTTTCTGAAGAAAAGGGGAGTTAGAATGCCCTTCCTGCATCTGCTGTTTTTTAAGTGCCTTTAGCACAAAATAATCCCTATGCCAAAGTGGTATATTTTAGGGAGGCACATTCTGCCACTCATCACACACGAAAACGTTTTTTTCAAGGATTAAATAAAATAATCCATGTAAAGCTATTAGATTAGTGCTCAGTAAATGGTAATTACTTTTGTTGTTACTAATAATAATAAAAACAAATAATTACTGGCTGTTGATGACAGACACATGCCCTTGAAATTAACTTTTAAAAAAACAGTGACGTGTTGAATGCTGTGTTGTTTAGGAAAACAAAAATGGTTGGCTGGTTCACTGATAGGTTTATAATTTGAAGTTAAGATGTCTCTTCACAGGGATGTGCTGTGATGCTCACATTCTTAACGGTGAGGCAAGAGCTGTGTGTGATTCTGTTGTTTGGCAGTCACAGCGCATTTGGTTACACAAGCCTGCATCAAGCAGAAAGCAGAGTTTTTCATTTTCATTATTTGGGGGAGTGATATACAAGTGTTTAACAGTTCTTACAGCAGGCTCAGGGGTGTACTATCATTCTATTTTAAAAATACTTGTCAGATAAATCTCATGAGACACGTAGTTTCAGGATGATAGTGATATAACAGCAGCTGCACTAAATTTTTTTACTCAAGACAAATGGCTTTCCAAAGCTATTTAGGCCATGTGTTCCTACTCTGCCTTATAAATTTTGATGTGCCAGGTACTAGAATATTGGTTTAGTTGGTCCCTTGGGAAGCCTGAAGTTAAAGCACTGACTAGGCTCTTTTGGGCTGAGAGCCCTCCCCAGCTATTCAGCTGGCAGGAAAGTCTTCATTATTCATTAGGGAAACTAGTGGCAGCAGAATCTGGCCTCGAGATATTACTAGCATGGTCATAGGCGCTGTCTACTCACAAGAACTGTTGGTAAGCCATTCTGGAAGCAAAGGAATGTGCTTGAATCTGTAAGTGTTTAGAATTTTTTAAATGGTATCTTTGTCAATACTTATCACATAAAGCCCATGAGATTTTCTGTATCTTTGATAGGATAAATCATTCTGTGATATGCTCCTCGAATTCAGAGTGGAATGTACTGTAATCTGATTTGAAAATGTCACAGGAAATTACTTGAATGTATTAGTATCAATGAATATCAATTTAATAGACATATGCTGTGTACTTTACTGAACCAGTGCTGCAGGAATGTGATGGACTGCAATGCTTATGGCCATAGTAAGTGCCGTAAGCTCAGATGTCCCATGAAAAAAGCATCAAAAATACAATGATAGCTGGAAGTCAAGACAGATACGAGGGCAGACTCTGAATTCATCTCCTCCTGTGGACACAGCCAATTAACAACTACTCGTGGAAAAATTACCCCTGAAAGAGAACAGAAAACTGGATAAGAGGAACTCCGGCAACAAAGGACAATCCTAATTGAGGTAGAAGAGGCAGAAACTCTCTTCTGGAGAGAAAAAAACGCCGCCTTCACAAGCCACAATGCCTCACGGCCGCCCAGGAGCAGCCCACAGGTACGCAGCATCCCTGGAGGAGCGGGGCCCTGAGCCGGGGAGCGCGCCCACTGTGGGCATTTTGTGGACCCAGCACAATCCAGACGAGTGGCATAATATCTGACTTTGCCTGCTACTAAAACATTGGGGAGTACCACCAGAAAAGCTGGTTCACAAAGAAATTAAAACCAGCTCTTAAAGGGCCCAAGCGCAAACTCACCTGTTTCAGAAAGCAACCTAAAATCACCAGAAAGAAAGGTGCACAGTGCTTTGGTGAAAAGAGACTCACCTGATAGGCTCTGAGTGCATTGCAGTGAGAAGTGAGACCTCTCCAGGGACTGGGACATTCGCGGCCACCATTGTTGTGGCCTGGTGTGGGTGTGCTGATACAGACGCCATTGGAGTTCACCCTGGGGCCTGCTAGCCCAGGGTCTGCCCCATCCGCTAGAGCACCGATTTAATCCAGCTCAGCCAGGGCAGGCAGCCCACCCTAGAGACTGGCCCCACCCAACAACAAGCCGTCAGGCAACTTGTGGGCCTGCATCGATGGGTGGCTGGATTCTCTGCAGCCTGGCAACTGAGCCCACTTCAGTGGGGCAGGGCATGCACAAGGAGCAGTGGACAGTGTGGGGCAGTGGTGGAGTGTGTGTGGGTCTCACCATGGAGAGACTGGAGTCCAATACAGGAGGTCGGGGCAGGCATGCGGGGCAGGACTGTGTTGACTGTGTGTGTGGACCTGTGGGCAGCAGGGCTTGCCAGCTGCAGAAATGGTGCTTCTCAAAGACACACATAGGGGGTTTGCCCCACTTTCCAAAGCCTGAAATAATTGGGTGCTCCGGTGCCTGAAGCCAGCCCCACCCAGCTGCAATCCTCAGAGAGCAGACAAGAGACCTAAAGGCTGGAGGCTTATAGCATTTGTAAGCCCCTGACCCCAACAACCTGCCA